CTGCAAGCCTTTCTGATGTTTGATCTCTTCACAGATGAATCTACAAACAAAAAGCTACCAAATTCTTTTAACTTTAAGGTAATAGCCCTTGCAGCCTAACATTAAACTTAAAGTGTGGTTTTAAGTGTGTGTTTGTTTCTTTGCTTTGTCATGTGCTGGTGCTCTGCTACATGCTTGACTTGGTGGCTTTGTGTCTCAGATATGGTCTGTTGTCATCAAACATGAGGATATATTTTTCAATGACCCCTACCTCCGACCCCACCAACCCAACGGAACTGCATGTGGTCCTACTTGGAAGATGAAATGCTCACAGAAGCCGAAATGGCTGTGCTCTCATGCAGTGGTTAAGAAATATTGTTCATGTGTGGTTCTCTCACTGGGGTTACAGAAGAGGGGTTTAGCATAGAAAGGTGGAAAAAAATAGACTGGAGCAATTCAAATTGACTGTAGGAACGCACGTGAGCATCATTAGGGGAATTTAGACACATCCAGCTTTGGTATTTTGCTGGAAGTGGTGTAGCCAGCCTCGCTTCGGATGCTTGAGGGGGGAAAGCAGTTAATGTGGAAAGATGCTGCTTTAAAGAATATGGTTTGGGCTGTGCTTATGACTTGGTTCTTCTTTGTGTGTCACTTCAAGCTAAGCATCGACATCTATTTTTTTTTATACAGTTTGTATAAAAACAGATGGTGTTTTTATGTGATCAGTGAGTAATCCAGTCATTCCTTGATAGAGTCAGTAATGCCTCTTATTTGTATAGCCATCATCATCCCTACGAAGAGTTAGCATTGCAACATTGCCTAGGAGTGCTGGAAATGCAGGTGTTGGGTTGCCGCTGGTAAGTAAGGGCTCCCAGGTGGTGAGGCGCTTTACCTTCTCAAAACTGGCTGGGCTGAAGCGTGGAAATGCCAACGCAGTAAGAGCGTGCGTGTCGTTCTTCTCTAGGCCCAGCTCCATGAACCTGATGGAGATGAACGGAGCGATAAATTCAACAGGAGATCGAGCAGTTGGTAAAGTTACTTGGGTTTGTCTTCGAATAGGGTTACATTTTCAACTCGAACTGTGCCTGTATTAAGCTTATGGAGCTTCTTGAAGTTTAATAACATTTAGGCTGCATCCTTCACGTTAATTTTACATGCTTCAATAGGTAAACAAGCCTTCATGACTAAATGTTACAGCTTTTTTTTCTTTTTTTAATTATCTCAACTGTCTTGCATTAGAACTAGAATATGAAAGCTAGGCAGCAGGCATTGATGGATTGGTTTTTTAAAAAAAAAACAAATCCTAATTTCAGGCAACTGATTCTGAAACTTATTTGTCTGAGGCCCACTCAAATGAGTAGGCTGCTGCTGAATTTCTAATTTCCTGCTGTATATCTGATGGGGAAATTAAGGCAAATTTTGTTTAAAATATGACAGGGGGCGACTAGGAGCAAAGCAAAATGAGAAGCGTCCTTCACTACAGCGGTTCATCAGCACGTATTCCTGGGCAGAGTACGAAGACGAACATTCTGAAACAAAGTAAGTTCAACAGCAACCTCCTCCGAGGTGTGTGCACAGGGTGGGTTAGTTTGTTTTTCATTAACTCTTTAACTGTCCTGATGGGGCCTATAAAGCCAAGCTATTGCGAGCTCTGTCAGATTGAATGCTTGATGGGAAAGCTTTGGATCTGTTGATGCTTGCTTACAGAAATGAGGAGTCGGAATCACCTGCTGAAGTACAAGAACAACCATCCAGGAAGGAAAGCGTCTCTGAAAAAGGAAAACATTCATCAAAATGGAACCTAGAGTCAGCGTAAGTCTTCTCATCTCACGGTGAGGTAAAGCAATGTTTGGGTGGTGGGCACGGGAAGAGGAAGCAAAGTTCTAGATTTGGTTTGGTTGGTTAATGCCCGCTCCTTAAACAAACCAACTGGGAATGAGCAATCTCCACCAGGGATTCATTACTAATCCAAAACAGTGAGGTGAAGAGGAGCCCTGTGCTATGATCCCACCTTTTCGGTTACTCTGTGACAGCTGTTACAGCTATGCTGATAGGTCATGCTAACACGTACTCTTGTAAAAATGATGAAGGATTTGAGGCCTATGCAAAAGTTACCAGCAGCGTTGGCACACACTGACACATGAGTAGTTATCAAGACTAACTCCAGACTATTCCAGCTAATTTCTCTGAACATCTCCAGTTAAGGAAGAGAGTGCCATCCCAAACAAGTACCCCTTGGAAGCCTCTGCCTTACAGGAAAGGAGGTCTGCTGTCTCTGCAGAGAAACTCTTTATTCCATATGAATATACAATGCTAAGTCTCCACTGTGAGCGTTCTTGATCAAGGGGGAGACACAACCATTATGCTAGTGTGTAAAACCGAGAAGACAGCAGGAACAAATATATGTTGTGGTTTTTTTTCCTACTGTTTGATAAAGGATAGAGGTACCCAATGTCATGAGAGGTCTAGGTTTTGGATAGTCAGTGAGGGTAAAACTTCTCCCTAACCTCAAGGAAGGCACCAAAGCCCCAGAAAACCATAAAACCTAAGGCCAGCACTTTCAGTGCTTTCTACAAGCAAGGTTTCTTGATGATCTGCAAGGCAGCTTTTGCAAATCCTCTTCAGAAGCATTGTGTGGTACAGGGAGCAGAGGTGGACTTACGAGTTGGGTCAGACACCTAAACAGCTTACCAAGGACTTGCTTACTGAGGCCTGCGCTTTAAGCCCCAAACGTAAGCCACCCACACTGCACACAGCTCCCAACACAGTAACAGCCTTGTCCCTTTGGGTAGCCAAGGATCTGTACATTTGTTTGTGGGGCAGGAAGAGGGCTTCCAGGCTTCAAAGAAAACTGAACCACTCTGTGACTTGCTCTTCCCTGCAGGTGCAATTTAATGTCATCGTGGGTATCCCATTTCAAGACGTCCTTTTCCAACGCTAACAAAACTCTCTGGGTTTCTGTTTCCATCCTGGTACTGCTTGCTGCTCTTACAAGCTTCCTCACCGGGCTGTCTCTTCAAAGACCAGCAGATGCAGCACCTGTAGGAACTGGGGACTCCTGGACTTCACTACAGCAACTGTTGTGGCCATATACAGGACTTCAACACAACGGACCGCCCCCAGTATAACAAAGGTTCTGACTTTTGTAGTTACACTTCCAAGTCCTGGACGACAGTGTGAGAAGCTGAGATTGTTTATTTAAGGTTACATGTTTGGGTTTGTTTTGTTGGGTTGTGGGTGTCGTTTTGGGGAGATGATTTTTTTTTTTTAAGCATGACTTGAAATTGAAATTTTTTTTTTTTCCCCATTCTGACGAAAGTCATTTACAAGTACCTAAAAGGGTCTCAGTTCTGTTCAGGTTTACAATAAAACAGCAATTTTGAACATAGCTAACAACAAATATGACTAAGTGGTCTAGCCCCAAGAGAAGAACTTATTTTTCTTTAACAAAAATAAAATGTTTGCATTTTAGTCATTGAAGCTGTTTCAATGATTTGAAAAGGATTCAAGACTAGGAAAGGATTCAAGACTTGAAATGTAACTTTATTGAAAGCTTTTGATAATAAAGTTTTAAAGGAAAGCATGCAGTATTCAAGAGTATGTTAAAACTCTTGTAGCAAGGAGCAGCTGATACACAACGTCGATAAACAGGAAGCTGGCTCTTTCCACTTTGTCAAGTGCTTCTTTCCTGGCAAAGTCCTTAAGCACATGGTAGAGCGTGGAGTGAAATTCAGAATCTTCTGCTAGCTCTTCTGAGAAAGTTTCACTGTTTTCAGTGATCTTGAGCTTTTGTGCTTTCTGACCATTAAACATATAAAGAGACCAGTCTTTGTCTTCGACAGACTCTGCTTTGAGATGCTCACTCACCTATTGCAGAAAAAATTGTGCCGTAAGATGAAGCCCCTATCACACTGACAGAGTACAAACTCTAGTATACTCATGAGTGTAACACAGAAACAAAACCAAGGCCCTGCTTCGAACCCCTAAAACAATATTAGCTCTCTGTGCCTAAAAGCCTGTGTACCAGGTACCGTATAGGCATCAAAATCTTCCATCTATTTTGTCTCTGAAAAGGCAAGGTTTGGCTACTCTGGCTGCTGCTCCTGCCTCCTAGGGAGAGAGGAGCTAGGTGCCAAAGGCATCACTTTAGTTCTTGCTCTGGGGATAAATATTAGGCTAAACATTTGTACATCACATGCATTTAACTCCAGAGAGGGGAGAGCTGCTCCGCATTTCAGCAGCAGGGTATGTTCTGTACCCACAGCCACAACTGGGAGTGCAGTTCTGTCTGTATGGGAGAAGCTTTAACTAGAGGTGTTTTAGTTCACAGATAGAAACAGATCGATGCTTAAGTTGCTTATATCCCTCCTTTAGGGAACAAACGAAACCCTATATCGACACGAAGAAATTTCCAGATATTAATTATAAAAGCTGCAGATCAGATTGCTATTCAGGGGCCCCTGACAGTGGGATACTTCCTGAAGAATCAGCATCCAGCTCTATCATCCCAGCCTCAACAGCTGTTTGTCACCGAGGTGTGTGCCCCATTAGAGATCTCTCAAATGCACGAGCTGTGAAGCAGCAGAGAGGCAGGCTCTGAACTTTTACTGACACACAAAGGACACTGCTAAGCAGTCAACCCCAAATCTTGAAACTGCCGCACTAAGGGCGTAGGCAGGGGTTGAAGACGACGTTTGAGATGAGCGTAACTTATGGGAGCAAATTGTTTCTGTCTGTTTAACTGGGGTAGAGGTCTAGGCTGGTTTTCTCTAGAAGTTTAGTCTAAATCCCCAAACCTTGAACACTGCTTGCTCTTGACCTGCTTCTAGATTCCACTTGCTCCGGGCAAAAGCAAAAGCAGACGCAACCAGTGCCATCTGTTTATAGGCCCTGACTTCTGCAAGGAGAGCCTGTAATCCAAAAGTACAAGTTAGAAAATATACGTATCAGTCTAATTCCCTGTGTTACACAGATGTGAGAAAAAGCCTGCTTTAACCAGAATCCACTGGCTAAGCTGGCAGAACACTTGTATGCTTGCCACCTGATTCTGCACAACAACAGGTCTTCACACAAGAGAATGTTACTTAAGTGAAAAATAGGTGGGAAAAACAACAGGAAAACCATCTTGCCCTTACCTTCTTGTTCACAGAGACATACTTGTGAGAACACTCTCCTGGGAAAATATTCACACCAGCTTTTTTCAAAACCGCTAACTGGACTTAGCCATTTTCCTGTGACATGGGAAAGCACATCCTTCTCTTCCACCACTACTGAAGACAACATACACTGATTACCCTGTTGTACAAACCAGTGAAAGCAACTTACTGGTCATGAAAGCTATTTTCTGCTTCAGGCATCAAATATTAAGATCTTTGCTGTTCTGGATATTGCATTCATGATCTGCCCCTTGGGGCTGTAAACTTCCATTCACACACGGCGAAGAAAGCCGCTTCTCCGCAGGCTTTCAGAAATGACGCTGGTCTCCTGGCCCGCGCTTATGCCCGTCACTGAGTCTTTTAAAATCACGTCTGTTACTGAACTGATTTACACGGCCATGAGCACACGGATGCGTAACTTGAACCTTTAGAAGGAACAAGTAGCCTTAGTAGTAGGTTGCTTGAAATGCTTTTCTTTCTCTTGGTGTAGTTGGGAGGAGAGAGGAACTATTTTGAAGTCTCGAGCTGGTGAAACAGTCTTGAATTCAGCAATGTAGAATTAGTACCAAAGCACTTACTGGAACTTTGCAGAACAATCATACAGAGGCCGCCTTCTAACCAGTTCACAAAAAATAAATTAAATCACCAGCAGTATCCCTTACAGTGCTTGGAAAGGAAGAGCTCCTCCCTCATTTTCACCAGTGCAGTGACGTGCAAATTGCTCTTGTGGAAGCATCCCATATTCTTCATAAAGGCCACTGCAATAATTCTATATGTTTTTTTTTTAAATCTGCAAATATTTTATTAAAAAATATATATACAGTACCTTAATTTGTATCTGAATTGTTGCAAAGACTGCAGTAACTGTAAGTAGTGCTTCATCTGTACCAGTAGGTCGCAATTCCCATGCCTGATACGGCATGTTGAGATGAGCATCCTGGAGAAGGGCTACTGTAGAAAAGGCACCCATCTCAAAGGTGACACGCTTGTCCTGAGTTTCGTATGTTACGTTGCTGATGCCGTCAGTCCGCCACTGTCGGCCTTTACAAAAGGGATGCAAAAATACAAAGCCGTATATGTAAAGCTTCTGCTTGTGATAGGTGCTGGGGAAGAACTGGTAAAGACATCCTAGGTTAACTAATGTTCACAGTTAAGATAAAATATTAGGCCCAAAATAAAGAGAATTAAAGGCAAAAACTCCCCTCATGTTAATTGTCTTTAAGTACAGGATTGGGCTAATTTTGACAGGAAAGCTTCTCCTTAACTTCAAAAGAAATACTAATACTAACTTAACTGTCATTTCTTACGTGCTATACAGCAGTCCACAAGCTTGTTCTCAAGAGTAACTTCAAACATCAAACCATTTTAATAGGTTCTACTGTCTTTCATGAACGTAAAGTCAGAGGTGTTGTATTAATCTAATAACTAAAATATCACATTTGGGTTTTAACATTTAATTTTCATATTTTAACTTAATACTAATACATGCAGTTAGGATCAAGGTGGACTTTCCGTGGCTTCACCCTAGCAATACTTTATTTGTGGCATACAGTTGTACTACTGCCTGTGTATTTTTTTCCCTTCATACAAAAAAGCTACAGTAAAAAGCCTCAACAAGCAGTCCATTGTTACAGATGATACAGCAGCAAATAGAACAAAAAAAAAATGCAACAAACCTCAAATTAATTAAGACTGAAGTCCCCAAATTATTTCTGAGCTCTGAATTGGCTCTTATTTCACAGTTGGGTTCTGGAAACAGTCAAACTCAGGTATAAATTCCATTATTCAAACTTTTATCTGCAGTTCATACCTGCAGGATCCCATCGGGCTATCACAGGATCCTCAAAATACATCACGTTGTCAGAAAGCCTGAGGGTTATCTGTATTGGTGGATGTGTGGCATCTTCAGCCTCTTCTGGGGGGTATGGGTATGCCTCCAATCCAGCATCGACTAACTTTGGCAAGATGGGAACAGGACAGATAAGATTTTTATTAGAAAATGCAGTAGCCTACTGTTTGTTTTTCTTTAAGTCCACTTAATCACCTGTAGAGTTTCCTAACACACCATTTGAAATTTATTCATATTAATGGTTTCCTAACGTTGCACATTCCAGCTACAACGTTAAAGACAGTAGAAGGGTGACTACCAACAGGCCTTTGAACCCTTGATGTGCTGTTGACGGCACCCTTAAGGCAGTGCCACGCAGTAGGCATAGTCATTTTTTAACAGATTCGCAGCCTCCAAAAAATCCAAGAGCACCCGAGAGGCAAAAGCAGAGATAATTAATTCCACTTCATCCACACAGCGTCAAAGGGAAGGAAGGAGGTCACGCGTGACTGGTAATGCAGGTCCGCGTGCTCGGCTGGGAATGAAGATCCCCTGCCTCCTGGTCTGCCCGCAGTCCCGCTTTCCTAGTTAGTCTGTATGGGAATTTCACTTATTGAAGGTTTTCAGCTTCACAGTAAAAACTGTGAGGCAGCCTAGTGCTGCATCAGGCTCCACGAGTGGGAAGACTAGAGCGCATTGGCTATAGTCCTCAAATGTCTTGCAGAGCCTGGAACTGAACTGGCAATAATTTTGTTACCGCCGTTCCTTAAGTGTCCCTTCCTGACCCGAAGACCTGAGAACATCTCGCTTTGCTTTTACTATGGGCAAGAGCATTTTCCAGCACAACGGTCCGTGCCAGCCATGCTGATGAGCACTGACCGAGCACACAGCTCTCTAAGCGCAGGCTGATCTGTTGCCCCCCCGGCTGCTGCAAAAAGTCCGCCAAGTATAATTAAAAAAATGATTTGAACACTTGGTCCTTTAGTTTGCTGCTCAAGAAACCACGTGCACTGCACACCTACATGTTGACACACCTCAGGAACAGCTCTCCAAGGATGACAGGGAAGAGGTCTGCATGGGGTGCAATCGCTTTCCTCACTCACCTCCACCACACTCCAGTCCTTGATCTGTCTGACCTGCGGTGGAAGCCGCAGCGCGGCGATGTGGTACACGCCACCCACCGGCACAAACTGTTGCAAATCAACAATGTTTGAAACAGTCTCCGCCTCTTCTTTTTCATTCGGCTCTTGCTGCACCCGTGGATCCTGAACTAAAAAGAATAACAAAACAATATGAATTAACTTGGTGCTTAAACTAAGACATGGAAATTTCCCACTTATATTATTTTTTCAATTTGCACAAAAAGCCCATGTGCTTGAAGTGCTTTACACTCTGCAGCACTTCAGCACCATCTGCTGGTGTTCCCCAAATCTTCTACCAATGAACATGGGGAAAGACAGACGGTTGGGCAATGAAAGGCACTTGGTTTGGTACTGAGCTTCTTAACAGATTAAGCTCTGCTCCAACTTTGTGGTCAATTCAAAATGCTTTATATAGGAATAAAGTTTTACTGACAAAATGAGTCACATCATTGTTAATCACAGAAGAATTTCACCGCTATACGATACAGTAGATTCTAGACAGGTTTAGTAAGTAAAATTGTATTGGTATGAAAAGAAATGAGAGAATAAAAAGATATGAGGCACCTACAGGTCATGCACTGAAGGTGAAAGACAGATGAAATTTATGAAGAGCAAGAGGGATTTAACACAAAACAAAATTTCAGATAACAAAGATAATTAATTCATATTTTTCTGTGCATAACTGTGTATATATTACATATATGTACGAATTTAAGTTTTAATTAATTGGAAAACGTTATTAGAAGGCATCAATGCCATAGAGAAAAATGCCTAGAAATATCTTTAAAAAAAAAGCCCCAAAGCCTACATGAAACATTGCACCAGATGTTACAGAAGGAGGACAAAGTTACCATTAGGGATCAAGAAAAAATGTCCAATACTGTAAAAACAGATACTGCGTTATGAAATTTGCTTTTAGAGAGTGAGATAATCTCCAAAAATGACAAATACCTATATAAACTGTCTTAAAGCTTTTTAAAAAACAAGTGAAAATGGTGTTTATTTTATAATGTCAGATTTAGTTGCACAGCGCGGAAGTTTTATTCTACTGTATTCACACAACAACATAACACCGTTCTGCAGTTGCACCAAGCAAAAAATTTACAGGAAGTAAAAACCATTTTACTACCAGCCACTGTGGTACTTTAACTTGCTTTTTAAAATAATAATACAAAATTATTTAAGTGTCCTCTAAACAAAACTATTCATTCTCCCAAGAGAAATTAACTTAACACTGGTACAATGAAGGTAAATCCAGAGAACTGCAGTAGTTCTTACTCTTTTCCCTGCTGTTGCATTCCTTTTTTTTTTTTTCCTCTCATCTACCTGGCTGCCTGTTTTCACTGAATTTGTGGTAACCGAGTATCCTTTCAAACTCTGTTCTGAAAAGCAGTTGAATGGGTTTGCAAGTCATTACCGTACCAGCAAAAGCATCGTTTCACAAGCCTCCTGTCCTTATCAAAGCAGATAAACAAGCTTGAAGACATGTTACACACACACACACACACACACACACACATTTCACCTAACCTTATGGTGGGGATTTTCAACGCCTTATCGAAATAAAACAGCCAATTCCTCCAAATGAAGGCCAAGTGCTTTATATTGTCTTGAAAACCACTTTGTTCGGGTGGTCTTTAGGGTCTAGTCTGACACCTGGCTGCTTGGACTGTGCTTAGTAGAAAGTGTTGTGGGGTGGGGTTTGTTTGGGGTTTTGTTTTACAAGGCAGCCGTACCGTTCAGCTGAACTATGCTGAAGAGTTCGCTGTTGTTTTAAGACAGCACTACAAGAAAACTCACCCTTATTAAACCAAAGGGCACAACACCAAAGAAATTTGTAACTTAACTTGTGTGGGACAGACAAACAGATCCCAGGATCAGGCCCTCTGTTAGCAAAGCGTACCAGCATGTATCTCGCTTGAAGCACACATGTGAGTACTGCTCAGTCACACCTACGCTACCCGCGTGCCCACCCTTACACCCATTTCAATCATTTTTTCTGAGGAGGACAATCTCACCAGGCAGCCTGGCAGACTGATAAAGATTGTGTGTCTCACCCATAAACATACATAAACATATGCATAATAACATACAAATGTACATAAACATAAATATGTACATGAACATAAACAATAAATAAATGAAAATAAGTGTAGGGACAAAATCCATGTTCCTATCTGTCCTATTTTCTTTCTGCATTTAACAATCATTAACAGAAATGTCAACAAAACTCAAGTGTTATCAAAACATCAATATATTTATAAACTTTGTTCCATTCACACAGAGATCTATATCACAATATTTCCATATTAAATATTTAGAATAAGTACTTTTGTAACGCTGCACATAAAAACCGACCAAATACCTTGTGATGGTATGTCCAAGATTTCTGATTTCTTCTCAGTTTCCTCCCCTGTCTCATTTATTTCTGCTATGCTATTAGTGTTTTCTTTGAATGAGATGGCACTCTACATAAAAAGCAAAAGACATTTTTCATTAGTCAGAGACAGACACAATAAAGAAGAGGGTACCGCCTCCGCCAAGGAGGCCCAAGGAGGAGGAGTACAGTCCCGCTCCTCCAGCAACATTTGCACCAATCTTGCTACAGGGTCAACGTTTTAGGAGAAATCATTTCTACCTGGCTAGCAAAAATAGCTTTGATTAAAGGCACTCTCCAACTTTGGAACTGGATACATAAATAGAGATAAACATAAAATAAATACTTCACATCCACAGCAAATTCCACCTCGAGCTCCCCGAGTACCCCACCAGCACTTAACCTTTTCAGCCGTGTGTGCACTCAAAAACTATGTTTACGCTGCCCTGACAGCCAGAAGAGCGACACAAAGAAAACTTAAGCCGATGTCGAATCCGAAGCCATACTGAACCTCTGCCGGAACCCCCACTTGCAGCCCGAGCCTGTGCCTTGCCCATGATGTTTATTCCCTTCCTCACACTGTTTTCTATTTTCAAAACATTACCCTGGATTTCCAGCCAAATTTCCAAGCCAGGTACGAATCCAGCCCTGTCATAGCAGACCCCTCTGGCAGCACAGCAGCGGGCAAACGGCAGTTCAGCGTACGAGCCATTTGTTTGGAGGCACGAGCACCTCCTGTGCCCCGGGCTGTGCCTGCCAGTGTGTGGGGAGAGCACACAACTCCTGAAACAGGGCAGAAGGTGAGGGGAAAGAAGCGTTTACGCACCTAAATGTGGGGGAACTCAAGGCGGAGCCAGACAGGAGGAGAGACTGCAGTAGCTGAGAGAAGTGGAGTCTTCAGAGGGAACAGGAAGATTCACAAAACTGAACTAAGAGAAAGACAGTAAGAGTTGGAAAATAACAAGACAAGGAATGAAATGAGGAGCTTGAATAAAGTCTGAAAAATGTGGGTGAAAACTGTCAAAAGACAAGATTTGTCACACAAAAAAAGAAAACAGGAACCAAGAAAAATGGGATTTCAGGCAGTGATTCACAACAAGGTGTCAGGGACTGAAAAGGAAAAAAAGATCATTGACCAAATGTATTAAGAAGGCATGAACCATGATGCTTTACAGTCATTTGTGCAGAGATTTTAGATAGAGAACCCAAGTCATCTATCTGCAGATGACACCAAAAGTGAAAAACCCAACCCCAGTAAGAAGAACACAAAACCAGGCAACCTGCACACCACCTAAAGCCAACATACTCCATCGTAGGGTGCCGACTAAGACAACCAGCAGCCAGAAACAGCACTGGCAAAGCCCTCTAGTGGGAAAAGCCTCAGCACACAGGCAAGGAGCAACCACGGAACTGCACAACCAACCCCTGCTGACCTCTGAATCCTCTCGTGCACGCTGTGAACTTTCCTCATACTGGATTCCCGCAGTGACTTTACGGGGCTGTCGGTTTCTCAGAAGCAGAATCCACTCATCTGGACACACCACAGATTTGTGGAAACATCTTACAATGGCATCCGACGTTCCTCACGGCTTGATCCGACTCTTGAACTGCCAGCCAAATGCCAACTCAGGCATGCCAACTGCACGGTAACTACCACACCCTGTCCAAACTTCCCTTTCTACCTTCTGCACAACAATCGTTGGTCATCCATCCTTCATTCCCTGGAGAAGGTCTATCACACAGTATTAACACAAGTTGCCTTTTTCTATAAAACATTTAAGAACCTGGTGCTCTCAGGCACAGGGCACATTAGGAAGTAGCTGGGCCTTGAGTAACAGCAGCACTGCAGAACACCCTTCCGTGAGACGCTTTTTACCTACCTTTCTCCCCCCAGAACACATTTCTTCTTCAGTGGGTGTGCTGGGCTCTTCTCTGCGTTTCTTTTCCTCTTCTGCTGGTTCTCCTACCTTGCCTTTTGAATGCTGAGCTGTTAACTCTTTGCTATCTAAGACTTCCCATTTCGGCATGCTCTGACACTGCAGCCAAAGCGGAGATACGTGATCGTAATGAGTATGCAATATGCGAACGGCAACACTGCTCACAGCCAGTGGCTTTGGAAGATCAAATCCATGCTGTGCATCACAAAACACGTGATTTTTGAACCTGTAAGTGACAGTTAAAAAAAGCATTCCCCAGTAAGACTGGCAGTGCTTACTTTTATATTTTTTCATAAGTATTCAAATTGACGTTTCACACTAAACGTCACCTAACCTCTCTTTTGTCGCATGGCACGGTCTAAGAAATAGAGTGGGATGTCACAATACGCTCCCTGTCTTGTGCTGACGGCTACCTGTAAGCCCCTCCAGAAAAGCTGTAACTGCATTAAGGGGATCAGGAGCTGAAAAAATAACAGTCCCGATAGGATGCCAATGAGGCAGAACCAGACAGCAGCTCTTCTACACAGGACATTCCCGGTAAAACCGACTCATTTAAGGGGCAAATCCTACACATGTGAAGGCACCAGCTGTCTGTGTTACATCAGTCTCAGTACCTTCCACATAAACCCCGAAGTGATACACAGATGTAAAGGTAATTTTGATAATCAACAGTATTACACAGCCACCGATCCTTGTGACAGTGCAGGAGACCGGCTAAGAGCAGCACAGGAGGCCAACCTGCATCCAGTCAAGTATCGAACTTGTGAACCTGGGTTCTTTCATCAGATTCAGAAGTTTCTTGCTCATTGCAAGTCCTGCCCAACTAAAACCAGAACAATTCAAATAATACCTTTGGATAAGATCAGCTGGTCACAAGTTCTAAAAATCTTCTAGTAAAGTAACATTTATTTTTTAATTCTTGGTTGAAAATGTTCAGTGCATCTCTAAGCTGGCCAAAAGGCTTTAACACTAACCCAAGGGGGCTCTTCCTGCGGGTCAGTCTGACACCACTCAGCACACAGCCTTCTTGTTATCTTGGCAAACCTCACAGCAACAGCTCCTTCATCAGGGCAAAGTCCTTTCACCAATTTATTCCTCATATTTGTGGAGTAGCAGCAGAAAGTCCACTCAAAAATCTTGTTTTGAAAAATGTATCAGTTAAATGCTAATCTAATTTAAAAAAAAAAAAAAAGTGTAGATTCAGAACCCACTATGGAGGATATTTGCATCCCAGGCTCTGGAATCTCTTATCTAACAGAGAACTGAGCACAAAGCATCATTCACCACTTTACAAGCAACTGTAACAGCTTAGAAACTGTTTAATGAATCAGCAAGAAATATTATTTCCACGGGAATTTCAATCTCTCTGTGTGAGTTTTACTGTTTTCCTTTAAAAATTGTTCTGGCAGTAGCAGGGTTCTACTGTAGCATTTTAAGAGATAAATATATATATATAAATGTGCGTGTGTATACATATATAAACCACTCCTGTTTCCTTACTAAAACCCTGATGCAACCTGTACCTTCCTTAGCACCAGGCTGGTACAACATCCATCAGCTGGGAGTCTGCAGAAGGAATGCTATTCACCATGAAACAGATTATGAGAAACAGGTTCTCGGTGTTTACTCGACTTGGGTAGGCAAGGCCAGGCCTCATTCCAAATTAAGAAGTTCAGCATGCTGTACCTTACTTTCTTCTTCAGATTGGCCCAAATACAGAAAGTAACATTTTTATCCTTTATGACCGCCTGCATGTTTCCGGTTTCAGAATCTTCATACATATTAGCTGTCTACAAAGAAAAAAAAGCTGATAAAATCATCTTTTCTTCTCATTTATACCACCTTGATTTACTCACATTTAGACTTGAATAAACAAAAAAAGACACATAGGAATAAAAATTCACCAGAGCAAGTTCAGGTATGTTGTACTTATGTACTACAACGTGACAGATATAAACTCCAATCTCTTTGTTAAAATTTCAGCTATGTTCTTTTTCTTCCTCTGACTTCATCAATTCTGTCAGTCAAATACTGCCAGATATGGGATCTTACATTATCCCCTTCAACGGTACTGCCTGTCTCCCTTAAGCATGTGCCCTCAAAAGTACTTCTCAGTACAAGTTTAAAAAAAGAAAAGGACTTACTGAGTCCTTTCCTGAGTGCACTCCTATCCCCTAGTCAGTGCACAGATTACTTGATTATTTTATAGTTTTGTCAATATAAAACTTGTGAAATGATAATTAGATTAGGAGTTTAATCCTAAACTCAGTAAAAAGACAATCAAGAATTTAACATTCCTTAATTTGCAGAGGGTTCTGACTGTGAACATACAACTGGTTCGCTATTTCCTTTACTCCTTTTCCTTTTTTTGTTTCCTCTAGCAATATTCTTTCTCTAAACAAACTTACACATATGATTAATATATAATTAAAACAGCAAGCAAGATCACTATCTATACACACAACCCAGAACACTGATTCCTAAGTACTGATTCCCAAACATTTTCTTGTTTAAATACTCTTTACTCTTCCCAAGATCTTAGTTTAAAAAATATTTGTCATATGAACTTGTATCAAAAACTATGTACAAGCTAACCTTATGACCTGTTTTTCACATTTGCAATTTTTTATACAGTATATAGCTGTAATTTGAATCACTGAGACAAAACAGGAAACAAATTTCACACAACGCCCCTTGTTTTCTCGAAATCTCACGGAATTTCACAATACTTTAATCTTAAATGTCGTAATGATGGGAATTTCCACTGTAAAGCTAAGATTTGCAGGGGTTTTGAAGAAATACAAGTCTGGTATCTGCTATATGCATGATTTGGAAACTCAAATACTAAATTTGGAAACTGAAACACTAAACTCTGACAATTTAAGAACAAACAAAACCAACCAGCCCAAGACACTTGTAGCTAACCCTACGTGCGTTGCACGTATTACAGCTTCGAAGCAGTAAATCTTACTTACCTTAAGCAGGTGTTCTGTTGCTCCGTTGTACTTCTGATGAAGCAGATTCTGCAATTCCAGAATAGATTCCTGGTACTGGACTGTTTCTTTTTCTGTTATCTCACTTGGTGGTGTGTCCAATAAAAGAAACTGCAGCTTCTCAATTAACTAGAAGACATTATATGTGGGAAAATAATCTTTGACACCACCCTTAACACACCGTGTGTTTTGTCATAAAAAATGAGGCAAACTTCCTTCCTTTATCCCTAAACACATCTTGGTCACCAAAATAATATCTTTCTATTGTTTCTCTAGAATGCCAAGCCAGCATTACCAGACAGACAGTCAACCATGCATAGTGCTGGAAATTCCAGGGTCAAGTCTGCCTTCCTTCGTTCCTCCAGTCTAATTCCTTCACTCCTTAACCTGTGGGCTGTGAAATCTTAGCTTGTGAAACAGACCATTTATTGAACCGGTTTGGTCCTATGAAGAAACCTTTTGGTCAAAAGTTAGTTTTAATGAAAAGCTTACAGCTTTATTTTGGAACCATATTTTCAATAGTAATAATAATCTCAACTATGAAATCTTGGAAAACCAAAAATAATAGGAAGACATACAGCAACTACATTTCAGTTCTCAGAACAATCCTTATTGTGAAGTTTGGAACTCTGTCGTAACGTTGCTCTCTTCCACTACATGCTAATTTCTTAACATCTAAATGCTTGTATAGAACTAAAAAATCCCTAGTTGGCCAAAGTGACAGGCAGCGCTGAGATGATGGGAGGATGAGATGATATTTTAGGCCTCCCTTCCAGACTTGCCAGACTCTTCTGCCTCTTAGCTTGTGGAATCTCAGCGCTGCTGCTCGTTAAAGGTGAGGCAAAGCAGCAGCAGAATTGTAACTACCGCTGTCTCTTTCATGTCGCAGCTTTAACACGGTCTGCCTCAACAGTGAGGTGGTCCCTGCCACTGAGAACTGCTGATCTCCATGATCTCATAGTTCAGTGTTTAACAGTTTCATCCGAAAACATGCAGAACAGGAAAGAAATGCTCAAGTGTTTTAGACCAAGAGAAGACAGACAATCTTTTTGACATCACATCACATTTCCAGGAGGGGCGAAACAAAAACGCCTACCTTCTAGTTCCCCATAGCACTCTACTGAGCATACAGTGCGAGGCAGTATATGGTTACAGGGCCTGAAGCAGCTGCAACTGCTTCAGCGTCGGACGGGAAACACACAGCGGGGTGGAGGGGAGTGTGTTTGTGGGAACGATGTGAGCGCAGGGAGGAGAGGGGAGAGAAGGAACAGAAGCGGGCAATTGCCAGGCTTCCTGCTTGGGTGGCAGCGTGGAAGAGAAAGGGAGGAGTTATCTGTTGAAATTCTTGGAAAGGACCAGGACATTCCCCGCTGGCTCAGAAAAAGGCAGTACGTGGAAGGCAAAAATCGCAGCACCCAGCAAGCACTGCAAGATCAGAAACCTGACACTCGGAACCAAACCAGCCCACTGAAAATCGCGTTGCACAGGCGACTCTCCCTCCCAATTTCTGGAAGACCCCTTTTAACTTTCTGGAAAACACTATCAAGTTAGCATAAATGAAAATAAAATCCTAACTTTACAGAGCAGCCACAAATTGCTTAAAATTGCTTCACAAGCCATCAGTAGTTGGTGACTTGTATTTTGGGAACTGCTCTTACATGATACTTTACTGGTTGTAAGTGTTACACAATAAGGCTGCTGTCCACTGAGGCATCTGTGTATGACTTGAGATTACATGTTCTGGCTCAAGATGATTTAAAATGTACATAGCAGGGAAGACAGACGTCGGAATACTCGAGCTTAGTGTAGAAACATTACAGACAAATCTCTTAAATGCACTGCATATTTAAAGTCAATAGTCATCTTCTTCAGAGTTAACAATAAATCTGTAATTTAAAAAATGTAAAAACTGAAGAAAAACATCTGAGTTTTGAAGGTTATAGCCAATCTCAGCCATTTGGCTTGAAAAAAAAAAAAAGGGAGGTGGAGGGGGCTGTTAAGGATACGTTCTGGTAAGCTTAAACTGAAAAATACCATTTTAACACTTACATTTAGCACCTGTTCTCCTTTCTCCATCACAAGTTGAATGTCCTCATTTTGATCTTCACGCCATAAGCTCATGAAAGTATTTATTTCCTGCAGTACAGTTGGGTCAGGACTTCCATCACAACTGAGGTAATGCTCCCACTACAGGAAATGTTCAAAGAAAAGCAGATACAGGCAAGTGGCGCAAATGACTACCATTATTACAAGGAAAAGGAGGATCCTGAAAGACAAATATATTACAGTGATACATTCACACCTGCATCTCAACAGGACTGTAACACCACCTGGCTTATCAGTAGGCCAGAAAAAATGGTTTACTTCGATACTAATGTGTTAAGATATTTCTGCCCACCCAACATTTGCTGTTTATACTGACTCATTTATCAGTGGTTTCTGTTCTGCTAGGCAGAGCTTGCATGTCTACAAAAGCAATGAACTCAGTACCCGCCACAACGAGGGGCTGAAAGAATAAAAGGCTGAGAACATAAATGAGGAACGGGTGCAGGCAGAAGACGCAGACGGTTCTCAAACCAGCGACTGCCAACAAAACTGAAAATCCCTACACTGGCAATAAAGCTGCTGAAGAGCTACTTCAACATGTTGATTCCTCCTTTCTCTGCCTCTGAAGGAGATTTCCTCCTCCTTACCAGGACCAGTTCAGCTGTTACAGAAACCTCTGGTGGGAATGTGAAATCCTAGATTTATTTTTCTTAATAATTTTATTTTCAAATCAGTTATTGGTCAACCTTACAGGTGGGGGAAGAAAAAAAAATCAGCGACAGGCTAAACCCACTTAACTCTATCCACAGGCATAACATTGGCTCATGGGATCAATTTATCACCTATAATGTAATTTTTTTCATCCATACAGCAAGATATTAAGGAAACATTGCCTCCCTGTTTACTGTGAAGATTAATAACACCATGTTACTGAAGGTTTACATTACCATGTAAAATGGATCTTTTAAAGTGAAAGCGCTTGTATAATTGCATTTCCAACCACTTCCATAACCATTTCCACAGACTTCAAAAAGAACAATAATAGGTGAGTACTCAGTGCACCGGAAACTCCTCTATAAGAGATTGATCGGTCTTCACCAATTAAAACATTCAGTTTCTTTTTTTTTTTACATCTTTGCACCTAAATAAGCGCTTCAGTTTCATCATCATGAAAACACATCCTTAAAAATAACAGCACTTGTTCTCTGAGAGAAAGGATAAATTTCATGATAATTTGTAAGTGTATCTGTTAATCTGAAGTGAAATTGTTCAGAAACAGACATGAAAACTCAGCATTTGGTACTATATAGATTTCTTTTGCCCTAAATAGTCTTAACAGCAGACTAATACAAACCCTGTTTTTTCCCATAATCTAACAGTATTTTAGATGAAGATTTCTTTTTAAAATAATAGTACTATTTTGCCATTACTTTTCAAAAGAAAAGAAAATCCTATGTTTCTCCTTCCAAGAAATACTCTTCAGAAACACCCAGAAACAACAACTGTCCCCTTTCCAAATAGCCAACAGATTCTCTTGTTCACAAGGATAATGAAGTCAGAGCTCATCATCAACTGAAAAAAGTAACAAAAATCATCATCATAAGGCATCAAGGCGTGACCACGCAGTTATCACGCTGCACCCGTGTGGCAACGAAGGCTGAGGGGCCCACGGGGCTACGCTGGGAAGAGTGTAACCAGCCAGCCTAGGGCTGTCCCCTCTGCAGGGCTCCTGAGGCCACACCTACAGTGCTGCACCCAGTTTGGTAGACTGCAGGGTCCAGGGGAGGGACATTAAGAAGGTTAGGCTACTGGAGAAAACGACCCACGAGGAAAGGCTGAGCTTTGTTAGTCTGGAGAGGACTAACGAATGCAATCTAACGGTACGTAGAGAGGGGTTACAGAGGAGAGAGAGGCAAACTTTCCTCAGAGGCACACGGGGATGATGTGTCATAACAACTAGGCAATGATCACAAGTTGTAATGAGGGAAACACCAACTGGATTTAAAGAACAATTGTTACAATGAGAGTGGTAAAGCAGTCAAAAATACTGCAGTATCCCCATCCTCAGAAATTTTCAAAACCCGGCTGAGAACCTTGATCTAACTTCAGAGTTTGCACTGCTTTGTGCAGGAGGCTGAACTATACGAATGTCAGAAGTCCCTTCTAACATGATTTATCCTACAATTCTAAATTTGTTCTGCAGAGGCTTTATAAAGGATTAAGCGATACACAAGACAAAGAGAAAATCCTTGTGGCCACAAGTCTATTTAACCTTACCTGGAACCAAACTGACAAAATCTCATCCCAGACTGTTACTGAATGATGTTTCTGCAAGACGGATTCACAAAAGTGAAACGTTCTACTAGACTATTTCCATATCTTACCATTTAAAATTTACCTTTACAGGCATATAGTACTATTGGTGACGATTCAGGCACCATGTCTGTCACCCTAAACTGCAGACATTAACTCTGAGCTGCATTTTCACATTTTTCCAGCCTGATAGCTGACCCAGGTTTGTGCTGTGCCTGTCAAAGATTTGGCCAACCTCTCTCCAAATGATGACCTGTGATATTGATGAACCACTGGAACAACTGACTCAAATTCTACAAACACATTTTTAATCCCTGGTAGAGCTTTTTTTATAGAATGTTTAAAAGTAGAATGAATTAAACAAATAGAAAACGAAGGACAAATACCAGAACACCTGAAATTACAAGTCCTCTTGACTGCTGGGGTAAGCTGTGGGGCTGTAATACTCTGATCAGCCAGACAGGCTTCCCTTTGCCCATGCTTTTTTCCTGTGTACACCAAAGCACAGAAGAGCGAGGAGCGTGAGCATGGCCAGTTACTACCTTGAGACAGAACCTGAAATGCAGTCAGAGCACACACCTAAGTTCCAGAAAAGGAAGCATTCCTGGATCCCGTAATGGAGACACAGCCTAAAGTCTCTTCATTGTCGAACCGCCACGACAGTGGGCAGAATTTGGAAAGAAAGGTTACCTTTGCATATGCTCTACAAGCTGTTTTCCACTGTTGCGCAGACAAAAATTTCTGTTCCAGGGAATGAAGTTCTGCTAGTTCAGACTCCCTTCGTTCGTGATCCTGTTCAAACACATATATCAAACAGCGGGGCTAAATATTTACTTCTTACAATTATTTCATATCAAAGAAAAAAAAAAAGGGATATTTGAACAAGTGATCATTTAAACAAATCCAAACACTGATAACTTGTTTTTTTATGAAACATTCAATTGAGAAGACTGCAGCAGTTCACAATATGTTATTGTCATCACATTAGTTGCTGAGCCATATGATAAACATAATGTGTCGTATGATTGTAACCTCTCACTTGAACTGTTTCCATATCATCATCCTGGAACCACCTCTAATGAGAGCTGCTAAAAAATGTAAGCATATGTTGGAAAAATGTGTGCAAGATGATTTTATTTTTTTTCTTTATAACTTCTATTTTAAATTCCTCTTCTCCCTACAGAGGGGAAAAATATGCAGCGAAGCACAAGAGGCACAGGCAAGAGGGACTTTTTTCTGGGGGGGGAGAAAGAAGAGGGAAAAAAAAAGAATTTTTTTTGTGGTAAATCTGCTTCTTTCTTTCTTTTTTTTTTTTTGAAAACACAAAAGTATTTAGATATTACCCATCAGTTTTTGTTTTGAATTCTCAGAACAATAAACACACATATTCAAATACATGTACACACACACACATACATATACACACACAGATGCATGGACACAAATCAATGCATCTGACCTAACATGTAATAAGCACTTCTAGAATTTACACCAAAATCTTCCTGCCACAACCGTACCAAATGTAATTGTGGGGAACACAAAAAAATACATCCAATTGAAAGTATAGTGGAAATGGAAAAAAATTTAAAAAAAGAACTATTAATTGAAACTGGAGTATCACATATCCCAACAGTTAATGTATTAAACCACAGCGTCTTTATGTATCAAAACCAGGGAAGACTAACTCATCTCAGGAAATTTTTCTAATCCAAAGCCAAATATTGGCTTAGTGAAAGAATACTATTGAAAAAAATTCAGCACCATCTCTCTCGACTTTACGTCTATGGCATTTTACTCAATCACTAATCCAGCTCACTACCTTCTCAACTTGCAGGATCTTAGACAAGAGTGTCTTTCAGTGGCTTAATTTTAATCTAGTGATGCTAGAAAATATCCTCTACATTGTTCCTAACACTAGGGACATTAGGAAATTCCTTTCCATTCTCACACTAAATTAATAATGTTTTATAGACCTTGTCACAAGTTTAGAACAGGATTAGAATTTTTCAGTAGCTATTGAGTATGAACTAACTTTTGCCTCAAGCTTTTCCATCTGCTCTTGTTCAATTCTCTCCTTTTCAAGTCTTGCTGCTTCTTCTTGTTGAGCTTTCAGTCGGGCTTCCTCTGAAGATTAGGAAATACATCAAGAGCAGAATTATACTTTGCTTAACAAAACCAAGTTATTTTGTTATTAGCTGTAATGATAAAACAGCCATAATAATGAGCAACATAAAGTTGTACCTTATATTGCCCAGAAACCTTCCAAATGAGCCAAATTAATGTGAATCACAGTACTAAAACAATCTATGGCACCACCCCTATCAGTCGGTGACAATACAAGTGGAGATGAGGATCAGCAAGTCCTCTTCTTCCCTTCAGAAAGAGCAGCAGGCGTGCCCTCTCCCTTTATCTACAGCTTGAACAGGCCCAGGTTCTTAATCCAATGACCATGGTGAAACTGCCTGACTGCCTCTGTCCCAAGTTACTCTTCTCCTTTCCTACAACCTTCACTGGGTACCTCAGTCTTCCAGCTATTTCTTCACTGAAATCTTCTTCAGGATCAGGTACTGCTGATAGCAGTTTTAGCTTTTCTTTGCTGCCATAGGGACTAGAGCGGATGTGAAAAGTAAGATTGATTTCAGCCTCTAAGCCTACACCTTAAGCTAGCACAGCCTGTGTATCAATCCAAGATGCTCCCAAACAGCGGCCTGAGTGTCACCACCTACATGTAAATCACTTCAAGTATATCTGTGTTGCACAGAGGCAAAGGTAGATCCCAAATCTGCCTGTACCCACCTGAGCTCCTACTCCCATCCACAAAGGTTACTAGTGATTTGCAGTCACTATTGCTAGCAGTCATAGCATGCCCAAACCCCCACCAGGCTGGACTAACAGCAGAAAGGGAAGTAGAAAGGATGGAACTGACATTCAGACAGGGGTATCCGTGGTGATACCAAACTGCAGAAGCAGACACGTTCGGATGGGGAGGACAGGTCAAGTCACGCAGCCGGGGTTTCATTTTGAGGGATACAGCGATACACAACAGAAAGATCTTGAAGAAGTGGGGGGAGAATCAGTCACTCAGCAGAGACAGAAGCCCAAGCAAACTACACTTTAATCTGTCCTAGTTTGTAGCCACCTTAACTGCTATCTCTGCAGAACACTAGCTAGCCCCCTGCCAACAGAAGTACTCTGTTGTCCTTCTCTGGGAAAGGTCCTTTTCAGAGAACGTCTCTTGACTATGGATAACCAGGCTTGAGAGGAGAGGGGCGGGGAAATAAAAACGCAATTTTCTGTAGTTTTCTAACTTGCTGAGAGTATTTCAAAAGGTAATCGTAAAAAAAGAGAAAAAAAAAAAAAATATTCTTCCAGCCATCCTCCTTCCGAAGTTCCTAATCACAGTAGAAACAACTAGAGAAAAGAGCAAAGCTCTAATAGGAAAGTGAGATGCGGTAACAAGTAACACAGAATCTGACCCACACAGGAAAAGAGAGAGGAATCGCCTGTGTTTGTGAAACGGAGACAGATAACGATGCACATACAGTTTAGGAAATTACTTTCTGTCCATTTATTTAAAAGAAGTGATTTGTGCCATCGCAGTCCGTACAAATGAAGTGCACAGTACCTTCCTCTTTCAGCCTCCTTTCTTCCTCTTCTTTCTGTAATCTCAGTCGTTCAGCTTTGCTAACTTTCTTTTTGCCACCAGACTTAATGTTTGCAATAAATTAAAATAAAACAAATGTCAATGTTATTTTAATACATTTTGGGAGGTATTTGCCCTTATAACTTTGTCCTTCTAATGTGACCCTTGAATTAAGATTTTAGACTCCCTACACAGTCAATGAAGCCTCCAGACGGGCAAACCACATCCCAGACTCAATTTTCTTCTCATTTTCATGATGCAGTATGTGCACATACAATTAATATATTATTCTATGCTAGACATTCCTGCACAATAGGAGAATATTAAAACCTCTTGTTTTAACGTAGAAATTGAACAACAGGTAGATCTGCTAAAAAAGTAGATGTTACAACTTCAAACATTTTAGAAAATACTGGGAAATGTATTTTGGGACATAGGCAAGTCTGGCATTTAGAAGCATCTAATTCACAAGACAACAAAGAGATCTCTTCTCTGTCATTAAATCCTAACTGCAACTCAAACCAGTTAATGGCTCAACCTCTAGGCTAATCCTAGAATAACTGTATTTTAAATTCAGGTTTCTTGGAAATTATCTTCCTTCTAAATTTTTTGTGGTCCAGGTATACATTTTCAAAAAATAAAAGACAAGGTAAGTAACACGCAAACTCTACTGTCATGTAACAGATTAATCAAAGTAGAACACTTCTTTTTGTCCTGTAATTCATAGCATTCACAGATTCCTCACTGATGATACGCATGAAAATTTGATAACTGGATCATGCACATGAGGCCACGTTGTCTTCAAGAGCCTTGCACAGCTAGGGTGTGGAAAGCCTAATTAATTCTCTTTGGATTTGAAGATGTTTGCTAACGGTCCCTCACTTTTTTTTTTCCCTCACAAGCAAAAAGGAAGATTCTTGGATGGGTTTTTATTTTTTATTATCATTTTGTTTGGGCTTTGTGTTCGTTTGGTTTTTTTTGTGTTGACACGGTCTAGCGATGCTTAATCAAACGCGTAGATCAGCACTGTCACTACAAAACAGCGCCTGAAATAAAGAAAGGAAAACATTGATTTTCCTGTTAATGCAGCAGCAAAAGCAGCCCCAGGTTGCAGTCTTTACCAACCACTGAGCTACTAAGGACTAAATTGTCTTTATTCAGTTCTACTCAGTGTTTACACAGGTAACACTGCCACTGTACTGCATGTGCATGACACCTGTAGTCAGTGTGCCTCGACGCCATCCGGGGTTGATGGAATGACACCAGGGAGGAATGCTGCTCCTGAAGGCAGATGCTGCAAAGACAAAGCCTGAATACAACAGATTTAAATTAAGAAAAAAAAAAAGGCAGAGAGGGTGCACAGAGAAAAAGATGGGCCAGGAAGTAAACCGAAACAAGTTTGTGAAGCTTGTAAAAACGAGTAGGCTGATTTTGTACTGCACCGCAAAACTGATTCACAGCCAACATTACTGTTTAGAAGCAGGACAGATAAGGCTATTTTTTTTTTTGTACACATGAGAAACTAAACCGTGACATTCTGCGTAGGCTCCAGCACAGGGAGATAACAAAGAGCGACAGCAGCCTAAACTAAGGCTGAAAGGAAAGGTACCTGTGACAACAGATGTCACGGAAAACAAATGACTTGCATTTGGTGGTGTATCTATGTACTGGCTGAGCAGTGGTATTTGCCACTGACACACACAAACAAAAGATAATTAAATTAAATCAAATGTTTACTTTTTTAAAACATAGAAAATTTGGGATGTAAATGCATTCAGAGCGCGAGGCAATGTGAAAAGAGGAGGAGACACACCTTCTACCCAGGCACCTAACCCGAGAGCTGTGCCGTCGCTGGTGAGAGAGCAGGGCTTACAAGGGCTCAGTCAGGTAAGGTAAAATGACTAAAGCAGTGCGAGTTTCATCCACGGTGTCAGCAAGAGAATATAGTTGGATGGCATCACAATGTAAACAAGCGCTAAGGATCAAAGGCTTCTGTTAGGAATCCAGTCCTGCCGTTCCGCAGAGAAATGGGTACAGAACGGTACCAGACCAGCACAGCAACACAGCGCCCACCTTGCAGAGGCGTAAATAAGGCAGTACAGAAAGAGGTCTGACAAAGCTGAGAGGCAGAGGCAACAAAAGGAGACTTAAGTCCAGACAGTTGCAAATGAACACGATGGTACCATGAAGTCCTCCCACCCATTCCACCTGAGTGCTCCTAATAATTTGGTAAATACTGTTACAAGAAATCCAATTGATAGTGAACTTAGAAATAATCAAGGAGAACCTTTGTCGTTCATCACATAAAAAGTGTTTTACAAATACTGCTATTTTGCATTTTGATTCTGACTTGTATTTTTTCAGATATAAATAACCACTTGGAAAGCTATTTGCTTTACACTACTTTGCATGGCAATAAATATAGGCATAAATGTAACTTTGAATACAAAGGTTATCACAAAGCTTGAACAAAAACAGTGGTGAAAATTTAGTGTCAACAACAAACGCTCACCCACCAGAGTTAGTGTGCATCTGATCGCAGTTATTACCAAAGCACTTATTTGTAAAATTCTCCTAGAACAGAGTCAGTAAAAACCACAATTCTACCTGTTAAGATTTCAGGGAAGAATCAGTTTATTTCAGTTCAAAAAAAAAACCAATAATAATAATAAAAAAAATCTTTGATTGCTTTTCTTCCAGGGAAAATGCAAAATCTGTTTGTTTCAATTACTTATAATCACTTTTTAGTCAACTTCTTTTTACATTCTTACGACTTAATATACTGCTGACAAAACTGAGAAGTACCATTCTCCAACGAACATATCACCATGTGCTCTTTTTCAGGGGAGGGCTGGATAATTTAATAATCACCAAATTAAAAATAAGCCACAGGACGAATTTATGCAATCCAGTTTCCCACGGACTTCTGTCTGTTGTCCCCCCTACCCATCGTGTTCTGTGTCCGCCCACGGCTCAAGGCCCGGACACCGGCGCTCTGCCCGGACACCTACTGCCAAGCCAGCACCCAGCGGCTGCGCTCGCCACCTTCTCTCTCGTAGTTCTGCAAGAACACGACTTGGTTTCCTTGCAAAAGGCACAGAAGCTTCGTGTTCTGGAGGTGCCTGTTCCTCTTCCGAATTCGACTGAGCCTGACCAATTAGCTCAGGAGAAACACAGATTTAAAAATAAAAACAAAAGCCACCTTTATTCTTTTTTAAAAGCACATTTGTATACTATTAAGGCGTCACAACACCTTTATTATGACAGATCCTCTTAAAAATACTGTTTTGTAGACATTACGTCCAGAAGTCCGATGCTTACTTTAATTTCAGCATGAAATGCTTTGTAATTTTACTCATATAATTTCAAAAATAACAGAACTGTGCTGGCACACTATCTGAACGGGTGCAGGGGTCAAAATGATGGATGTGAAATGGAGCATATTTCTGTCTACCTACCTTTTTTTCCTTTTTTGGACTCTAGAAGACCGGGGGGGCAGGGGAGGGGGGAGGAAAAAAAAAAAGGAAAGACAGCATCAGAGAACAGGATACCGATTATAACATAATAATTAAAAAATACAACTATTCTGTCAAATTAGATGAGATTAACTATTGAAAACCTATAATGACAATAGTGCAGAAGATCAGCCACTAACACATAACTCCAGACCATCATAATTTATCAGGCTAGATTACGCTTATGGTTATAGAAGCACGTCCACTTATTCCCACTGTTAAAAAATTAACGTACAACAAATATGTAATTTAGTTCGAGGCACAATTTTGTTAAAAAATTCTTTTCAGTGTTTTCTGAACTCATCACCTGATCCTGTGTGCACTTCCTAAAAACAATAAGCTACATCATGCGATGACCTAGAAGCACACACAGAACCACCACCGAGCCTTTCGTCATGCATGGGGAAACCGCACATGAAGCGAAGAAAAGTAACTCGGGGACTTCTCCAAGTGACTCCAGGAAACAAGAACAGATTCTAGAAAGCCGAACACCTAACAGTGAATCCCTTCTTTGGTTTGCCAAACAAATACCTTTCCTGTGCAACGTCTAAACACTGCCATGCGAATTTACAGAACGTCAGTGTGATTAATGACCCAGATGAGAATATTCCCTGGGGAAGGAGGAGGAGGAGAAGCCGGGCTGTGCGCAGAGGGCTCTGTTACGGCAGAGCGACTCTTCAGTTCGCTTGTTAGTTACCCCCACGCCGGGTGTCACTCTAAGCAGCCACAGTAACAAACCACAGCACAAGAAGCCAGGGCGGGGGGTTGCGGGAAATCTCATGTGCCCTTCAGGGGATTTTTTGTCAGTCTTAAATCCTTTTTTTTCACATAGCCGTACTGCGGCAGCCCGTGTGCAATGCCCCAGGCCAACCCTCACCCATTTCACCGCCCCATCAGCGACTCCAGCCGCCCGTTACCGTCGCTCTTGCCTTCCCTCTTCACCTGCAGGAGCCCAAAGCCCTGCGGCTACACCGCCCACCGCCCGGGCCCAGGCCG